AAGTGCAACGTGGAGACTCGAATGTGTGCGACAGCCATGTCATGTCCGCGGCGTCGACTATGGATGCTGAAAGCCCTCCACACTGCAATCGAAAGACAAACGTGCCGACAGTAACACAGGCTTAGGCTTGACGTTGGATGTGGACGCCGCAGGGTTTGATAGGATGTGTGCTAGTTGCGGTGAGTAGATGCGCTGGCGACGCTAGCCATAACCAGCCTTGCCAAGTCATGGTCACGCTTTCTTACTGCGCCCTCAACAGCCACCCGCACTACCACACTGTGAGTGCGACTCAATATTCATGGTCGTGTCTCGCGGTCGGAATTTCTCGACCCAGTATCCTGGCCTTGATCTAGCACAGTACCACAAGGGCACTCCTTTCGGCCAGCTGAAACAGCAATACAGCCAGACGCCTCCTTCGCCGCAATCCTCAAAGCGACGAACGCCCGGCGATGTCACTGCGTCACGGGACTCGCAGCACAGCGCACGGGAGAATCCGCTTCCATCCCTGCTCAAACCATGCGAACGGTGACAGCCTCGACTTTGGTACTCAAAGCAGGCCCAGCCACTTGACAGTTGGCACCTGTCCTGCCCATGTTATCGCCTCAGGCGCCAAACCAACTGTTCGCATCCATCTGATCCCCCTGCTAGCCACGAAGCGTACACTGGTGCTCCTACAACCAATCCTCCCCGTGTTTCCTTGCAACATGTGGTCTGGAGTCTGGTCGAGAACAACATTCCCGCACACCTGTACCACTACTGATGGTATCAGATGAGGGCTGTCGGAGCATATCGCATCATCAGTCGATCCTAGCCAACATTAGACAAACCATGTCAGGAACCCCACTACAGTCTGGTGGCACAATTGCTGGTGCTTGAATCACATTAATGGTAAACGGTAGGACTAGAAGCTCAAGCGACCCGCACCGTATTACCATGTGCAAGTCCTCATTCAAAGAGCTATGCGCACTATCTCTTTACTGAGGCGCAGTCACACCCTCGCCGCGTGGACTACCGTGTCTAGCAGATATGCACAGGTGTAAATAAACGTGCAGTGCAGCCGGCGCGATGTGGGAGCGGATCGTGGAGAAAGGCCCGCGCCTGTCTCTACCTCTTACTTGCTGACCACCACTAGACTGGCAATCGGAACCGGCAACATCAGCGTGTCAGAATAAACACAGCCTTTGACCGATCTAGACAATAGCCCAGAAGTGTCGGCCTCTCAGCACATGACAAACGTTCTATTCTCGATCCTCCGACAGGGTTCAAGGGAAGGGCGACTCCTGTTGTATCAGCCTTAGCCCCCTCGAGCATCGTGTTCTCGTGTAGTGGCCACGCAGTGGGGTCTGTGTACATTCCTGTCCAACTGGCAATAAAGCGCAATCTGGACTCGGGCCACAGTTCTCTGTATCCCCGGAGGAACGCGTGCCATACATCCGGGCTACATCGACTAACGAGCTGATCTCCTTCTTATCCAAGAACGTGGCTCTAAAGAAAACAAAAACCCTTTACGGTTTTCACGTTGAATGCCATCTCGAACACCTGTACGAACGTTCCTGCAGCGTGAGGCAATCCCGCGATGCGGCCGCGCTTGGGACAATCTAGCCGTCGATTGGATAAAGCCGCGTATGCAGCAAGCCGCACCTGCATATGCATGTGATGTAGGGTATCCCTGTGTAGTCTTAGCCAAGCCGGTGCCCCTCACCTTTCCACGATCATAGCTCGATCGAACTGTTGGAAGATGGCCTTCACGTGCAGTTGCACTGACAATCTCACGTCTCCGCTTGATAGCACACGAGTGCGAAGCCACAGTCGTTGATACACTGAAGGATATCGAATTCTACCGCGACGGCCACTCTCGAGCCTTTGCTTCCATATTGATCAGCATCACATCCTCGCTCAAGCGTTCAGATAGGCGTCGGGCTACCAATCACCACCGGCCACGTCAGGAGACAGCAGAGCCGTTATCGGGGTATCGACGGAGCAAGTAAGCCACGACCGCTCCTTGCAGCTCGTGGGGTGTGACGTCCCTCTGTGATTGGTGGGTCGACACGCCCACCGGTCTGGCTTCATGGGTTTTCGCCCCACCCCTTGTCACGCTCTATGGACGACTCGCTTGTTGCGACGTTCTCTAGCGTCTTTTCGATTACACTCCAGATGCTCTTCGATGCTCAACAAAGTTCGACAATGAACAATCGAAGTGAGGGGTTCATTGTTCGGTTGAGACGACTACCCGTTTTGCCGGCAACAAACACCTTCTACAAGCGAAGGCCTCACCGCTCTTCTATTCTTACGTCTCGGATCTTCAATGGTAGGCGGAAGCAATCTAAAAGCTTGCTGGCGAGCTAGGGTGAGGTAGACGGCGGCCGTGCTCCCCCACTGCGCCGCACGCTCAGTGTACATCCAAAATGCCGGCAGCGACACGTTGAAGTCGTCACTCGAGTCAGGATGTGGACGGTAGGCAAATCTGTCGACTTCCGCCTCCATGCAGCATCTCAACGGTAGCCAAAAGCAGGTTGCCATCTCGCAGCAGCAGAGTCGCTTGTTGTTAGGGCGGCGTATAGCCCGCACGACATACCTGCGTGCGTCAACTGTATATCTCGCCACAATTCAGGGTACACTACAGTATGCCCCACGCTATGAAGCGAATCGTGACTATCAATAATTCGATTTGAGGAACATACGTTCTAAGAAAGGCCTCAGCGCGACTATGCATAGACAGCGATGGATTCCCACGGGTGCATTCAACCTACCGCGGCGTCCTTCGTGCATTGACCGTCAAACCCAGCTGTACGGACACATAACGTCCCGGTATAACACTGCGGAAGCGGCTGTATGCACATTCGCATGGCCGGTCTCAATATCGATGCGCCATAGTTTTCATCTTGTTTATCCAAAGATGCACTTTCGCCGGGCAACAGGCGAACAGATAACGGGTGCACGCGCTATTGCGCTATCTACCAAAAACACGCCATCTACTGTGTCTTCTCAATACCATGGCCAGCTCGCTAAAGAAAGCAAACAATATCACCCGCGACCTTGGCAGCGGGCGGCTGGATAAATCGACACATTCGCTTAGAAGCATTGTCAATATACCTCAGCAGCATCGGCAATATGACGGTATTCTACAGATCGCGTCCGAGGGTCTCTGAGAGAAAGACTGGCGCGGTTTTCAGCACATCCTCGTTTCCTCAGAGTCCTTGAGTCGCCTAGCGTATTCTGATAGGTAATCAAGACTAGCAGGTCGTGTTGTCGTATCCGAGCAAAGAAAAAAAACTCAAGCCGAGTTGCTTTTGGCCGAACCTCTAATCCGTCGCTATGCGAGCGGACTACGCACCAAATTCAACGGGCTATGACGCCCAGGCCCAGACTACTTCACGCCTAAGCGTTACTAGAGGTTAGATACGCGTCAACGGTGGACCACTCGCAAGATCCTCGAGCTTCTCCATCGCTATCCGAATACACCGAAAAGAACGTGCTCGACCAGCCATCCCGGGATACGCCGGGGTGGCTGGAAAACATGGGCTGATCCGTTGTGAAAATCTCTGCATGCATTGCGGGCCGAGATAAGTCGCGCTTTGATCGTGTCGCAGTCAACGGTCGTAGTTCATTTGGTCACGTTGAAGTTGTTTGAGACTTGCGCCTGCTTGTGGCTGGGTTCGCATTATGCGAACCACGGTACCAGATGGCATAGCGCCATGCTACCATCGAGCACGCATGTAAATTTACGTCTACACACCCTGCGAACACCAATACTAGGTCTATGCCCATTGACCCCGCACCAGAGACGGCAATGTCGGATGTTGACCACCGACTTTCCCCACGCGTAGGGACTGTCCTGCCCCAAACGTACACGCAGGAAGTGCGTATCCACGCATTGGGTCCCAAGGCTTTCCTTTGTTGACATCAACGAGATGTAGTGATTTTGGAAAACAACATCACCGTTGGCAGCTTCGTTCCAATTCGCGGAATGTAGCATTCTCCGATAACCTCGGCTTGCATTACGTGTCTCATTGCAACATCATCATTCCATACGGCCGGCTATTGCTTCGCCCCAGCACACTCCGAATCACTGTACCAGATCCATGAAACAAGCCTGGCTAAAGCCTGAAACACACAAGTTCTCAGTGTTTCTACTACGGTAAACCAACACACTCCTCGTCCGCAATCTCCTGCGAACATGTGTTGCAGATCAAACACTCGATGTTGCAAACTAGACGATGTCATGTTCGAAAGCAGGACGGGTGTATCCCTCCTGTCGAGTAATTTACGTGCGTCGCGGGTCGGCTCTGCAGATTTGACACGTTCGGTATGTGCTTTGCCTGCATTGCAGAGGCGTGCATGCGCAGCTTGCTCGTGTCAGATGTTGCAGGAACTATGCAGCGGCAACCTTGCTCGTGGATGTTGTAAACATGTAGACGGCTGGCATCACGTGCAGTGAGTTTACTCGCATGGTTAATCTGGCAGTGCGCACAGCGTGTCATGCCTCTATCACTTACTGTTGCCTCTAAATGTTTGGTCATATTATTCTGCGAGTGGCGAATCCAGTCCGTCCATCCTTCAACATGAGAACGTGATAGTAACAGAATGACGAGTCTTGAGTTTTCCTGTATGTGATGTCTGCGGGAGTTTCGACTATTCGGGCCCTCATTCGACAAACATCGAGTTGCGCCTACTTCGATAAGCACGAAACACGGGCAGCCCCGCATAATGTGCGCCTCCGCGCCTCCGTCTATAGAGTAGAACTCCTGTGCTCTCTCAGCTCCATTAGCAGGCTCGTAATTATAGTCATCGACTCTGCATCATCGAGCAATGATCATCACATCGATACTCTGTCTTGTCTTTACACATTTCTTCGTCGTAACCCCTTTCTACCAACTATCTCGCAACTACCTCTCCGCACGCAAGACTGGCTTACGCATCATAATCAGCCCAATCACCCCATATACCCTTCAATGGCGACTACTCACCAGCCTTTGCGGGTCGTATTTGCAACAGTATCGATGGTTTCGTGCCATCGACTGGACATGCTGTTGGCAAGACAATGTCAGTTTACATCAAGAGCTAGGTCTCTGCTTCATCATCGTGGCGCCAGGGCATAACGTACTATGTACCAGTGATCCGAAGACAATTGAACATGTGCTCAAGAAGTGGAGGGAGTTTGTGAAGCCTGATAACGTTAATGGTGAGCAGTACAACATATGAGAGATAGAAGTTGATCAAGAGACTTATTATCAGCTATAGAGATTCTGGGCACTTTTGGACAAAATGTGGATACGGTATGCACCTTAACCTCCCTACATCAGCAATTTTTGTTGTTGTATTCATGTAGGCGTTAGTGTGAACTGACGTGCAAAGTCAAACGGTGACGACTGGATTCGCCATCGCAAACTCACAGCGCCATGCTTCAACGAGCGAGCCTCCGCCACTGTATGGAGCGAGTCAATGCGACAGTCGAAGATCATGATAGAGCAATGGCTCTCGTCATCAGATGGCAAATGGAAAAGCATGATCAAGGATACCAGTACTTTGGCACTAAATGTCATCTCTTCAGTCGCTTTCGAGAACACCGAAGTCAACAAACCAACACCGGGTCACGCATTGTCACTCCGCGACACGCTGGTGACAGTCATGAGTACCTCGATCTCTCCAACTATGGAGGGTATTCTGCCCTTCTTACAGTTTCCAATACTCCAGTCGCTACTGCCGAGCGATGTCAAAGATCTTTTACAAGCTATGCACGAGTTCCGACAATACATGAATGAAATCATAGTAACAGAGCGAGAAGCGATGACGAGCGGGCAGACTAGAGTATCTGCTCTTATCAGCACACTTATTGAAGCTAGTGGCCAAGTCAAGACTGAAAGTAGAGCATCAAAAGCCAGACTCTCAGATACTGAGCTTAGAGGCAATATCTTCATCTTCTTGGTCGGTGGTCTGGAGTCTACGTCCATCACTCTTTCGTATGCGATAGCTTTACTGGCTGTGCATCCTGATATTCAGGACTGGGTGGTGGAAGAGTTGGACGAAGTACTGAGTGACAATGTAAATAGCGAGATGGAGTATGTCAGAGTGTTTCCGCGGTTGAAGAGGGTCATGGCTGTCATGGTACGTCTTGATTTGTTGGTCGCTCTTGCTATTCCAAACCCTCCACGTATAGTTGAATGCTAATGATGCTGCAAGTACGAAACGCTACGTCTCTACGGCCCTTCACCACCTCTTCCTCGGTCACCTTTTCCAGCTAACTCTCAGCCTGCCGTTCCAATGACACATACCAGCACCGAGGAAGGTACCGAGTCTACAAATCTACCTGCTAACACTCAAATCATGCTTAACTCTTGGGCCTGCCAAACCTCATTTACAAATTTCCCTGATCCAATCACGTGGAACCCGAAGCGCTGGATTCAACCACACCTCTCTGAGACCACCAAAAAAGCTCTTCCAGCGACTCTAGCTGCAGAAGAACTGAAGCACGCAACGGGTGGTAGCGGTTTCGTCGCTTGGGGTACTGGGTCGAGGATATGTCCTGGAATGAAATTTAGTCAAGTGGAGTTTTGCAGTGTACTGAGTACCGTTTTGAAAGGAACCAGAGTGGAGACAGTGTGTGGGGAAGACGAGGAAGTAAATACGGCCAGGCAGAAGGTGATGGACATTCTAAAGGACTCGTGTGCGGATCCGCTGCTGCTGCACGTGAGACAACCGGAAAAGCTGGAACTAAGGATCTTCAAACGCTGAGGCATATCGATGGGTTTGGCCTCGAGCTTAGGAGTCATTGAGTCCTGGCCAGTATATCTCATCGATTATGGATGGTCAATAACATGTATGCGTCAAATGATATTGTATCAGTCTTTACCACATCTAAAGAAAAGAGCGGCAAATGCAACGTACAGTACTGAGAAACACGACCTCTGCTAAGCTGAATCATTTGTAGTTCTTCTCTCACGAAGTCTCGCACCCCATACGTCTACGTTCCGACGGGTCGATGCCTTACCTCGTCTCGGTTTCCATACGCTCATAGTCGGATCCAGTCGGCCCTCCATCTCTTTGTCGCTCAACACGCCTTCCACAAACTTCCAAGTATCCGTCACGACGATGTACTCGACTTTGTCCCCAGTACCATGATGGCTCCATGTTTCTCCACCTAGCTTGCTTGTGCCCTTCCATTTCCATTCCTCTAGTGCCGTATTTTCGGCACTAAGGTATCCTTCCAGCTTGTTTGCTTGAAACATTTCGCCTTCCCTTCTCACGGGAAGCTTCCATTTCTTGTTTCGTTCGACTATGCGCATCATCTCTGCTTTCTTCCAACTGAGTGTTTCGTACTCAACCTTGAGTACGCGGAGGCCTGGATTTCCTTCGAAATAGCGCAGCCATCCTTCATTCATACGGAGTGGTTCATTGTCTTCCCAGAACCACCAGTCTGAGTATCGGATGGTGATAGTAAGCTGAGTGGGCCGGAACTGCGGTACTGAAAAGAGATAGAATAGCTGTGGCCCGTCTTCGAGCCAGAACATTTGCGTGAAGAAACGTACTTTCTGAAGCGACTGCGCCGCCTGTGGAGTCAGGTCTCTGAAGAATCTCTCGCACGCCGGGGTGCATGTGCGGCCACTGGGTCCGCGGTCTGTACCATGAATGTCAGTTTTGGCATCCGATAATAGAAAGAAACAGCATACTAAACCAGAATGCGTACTCCAATTCTCTCAGAAACACCTTCTGGCCTTCCGCGTACGCCAATCTGCACGTGCGCAAAAGCGCACTACTACCCTTGAGCGGTCCTGAGAAGCCCGGCCTGTACCAGTACGAGTCTTCCGGATATGCTGCTGCGTCGTCTTCATACTGCATGAGTGCCAACTCGAATATGTTATTACGGATCTCGCCTGGTAGGACGTCAAAGAGTGGGCTTTGAGGCTGGAAGTTGGAGGGTAGTGAGATAGGACTAGACATCATTGTGAGAGCTGCACAGGGTTATCGCTCAGGATTTATCGTGGATAAGAGTCGTCTGAAGGACATGATGAGTTTATGTACCGCAGTCTGGAGTTTGTAGCATCAGGTCTAGGCTGATGGTTGCCTGCGGCTAGTGGGGCTGATCTGATTAGCGGCCTTGCCCAAGACTTGTAACCAATAGACACCCGCTCTAACAGCCGCAGACCCACAAGGTGGTCGAATGCAGAGATCCCTTTGATGTCGGTAAGGGATGTTGCTGTAAAAGAGAGGAAAACAGTATCCCAAAGGTCGATTCTGTGTCCTTACCAGAGATCGGGGGTGCGGAGAGAATATGCAATGAACAAGGTGCGAATATGATGAGTACCTAGGTAGAACTGGCATTATCACTGGACGATATCATGCACTTTGAGTCAAGAACGAGTACCTTCCAAGGTGTAGGACAATACGTGGTGTAATGACCGAGGAATTTACTACCTAGGTAGTACACACATCACAGCGGGGAGAGCCTGAACTGTCTATGCCAGGTTAGTGTATCCAGAACGACAACGTTGTGGGATTTGGGAAATGCTGCGAACTCATTACACACTGGTCCAACTGCTAGATCAGTATCATGAATGCTCTGGACAACCAGGTTTGAAGCTTGTTCAGCTGTGGGACGATGCATACGATCACCTATATGAACATCCGGATGCGAATGACGCTGAGTATGCCTGTGAAAACGATTAAAAAGAATGGCGACAAGTCTTCGAGGTGGATGATTCAATATTTGAACGTGCGAAGAGCTATGGCATGCGGGTAGAGAGGGTGCAAGATATAACCGCATGGAAGAAAGGGCAGGGTGGTGTAGATCGGTAAAGACAAGGCGTGGGCACAGTGAATATGAACTCGCTAACCGGCAGCCGGGTAAACTCTGGGCGAACGGGCAAGCTTCGGGGGTCGCAAAGCGAACGATGCTTTCGGGTGCAATACAAGAATCCCGAGTGGTCGCAGAGCTGGGCTGTTATCGTGAAGAAGTTTGTACAAGCTACAAGTTCATGCAGAGAACTCCACACCATACCGTGGTAGAAGCCGCAATCACGTAACAATAAATAGACGCAGCTCAGAACACAGCCAATATACGCGTGCTGAATAATAACCTCTACATCCCGGTGCCATAGTATATTTTCCCCCCATCCAGGAACGTGGATCTTGTATTGTAGCCTAGAGGTCTTCGCCGTGGAATCGCATCTTCGAAATTCTCTATGGTGCGGCGAATACATCCGGTTTGGACTTTGGGTCTCGTTCTTTGGTACAGTGTGCTGCGAACATGGGAAAGTGCGTGTTATGGGGCAGCTGAAGCGCAGCAAAGACCTTCTTCCCACTTTATGACTGTTCAAGCTTGTGTATTACGGTACTGTAGTTAGCTCGCTCGAGTGCCATATAAGAGAGAAATCTACGCTTCCTTCCTTCTAATCAACACTTCACTCTCATACCACTTCGCAATACTTGTCTACACTCTCTTCAAGTACCAGCATTACCAGAACCCTGACAAAACCTAAACAAACAATCAACACAAGGATGTCTACCTTTACACCATTCTCCAGGCTCCCCATGGAGCTCCGCAATCTCGTCTGGCAAGCGAGCAAGCCCACAACAGCAACCGTCGAATTCGACGAAGATGAATACCAGGTCACAAGCATTTCACCACCATCCGCCCTTCTCACCACCTCAAAAGAAGCGCGGGCCACAGCGCTATCCTTTTCTCTCCAAAAATTCCCCATCTGGGGCCTAGAAGACTGGGAGGATCTGGCCGTAGATCCCGAGAACACGATCCTAGAGATCGTCATCAGACCGTCAAAGTCCGCCTCCCTAAACATCACATGGACCGACATCTGGGGTGTACTGGGCGACGCACTACCAGCCACAAGCCGCCTCCACATCGTATGCAGTAAGCCTGAGCGACTAGCCAGGCTGTATATGGCAGAAGAAGCAGAGTACCTTGGTGTGGGCCAATCCTGCGTCGAAGGCGGTTTGTTCAACAACGCCGAAACCGTTTCGGGTGAGCAAAAAAACCCGTGAATCACTACACGCACACCTCACGGTCACTGCTAGCAAGCACACCGTTGAAGAAATCGACCAGAACGCCTCTGAAAAAGAGGTTACTGTTTGGAAGATCACCGACCAAGACACTTCGGACGACTTTGGGCCTGAGGCCAAGATTTTCACCACCAGGGGCTTAGCGCGCGTTGAGGTCGACAAAACCTCATACCTGTCTGTAGAGCAGCTCCACAATGCTGCGAGGACCTTCGCTCTGCCTGCTCGAGAGGGGATGGAAGGGGAGGTGTCAGAGGAGGTATCAGGGGGCGAGGAGGGACAGGTGGTAAAGTCAGGGGTGGAGCTGACTGAAGATGCTGTTGCGAAGCATCTGGAGGAGTGTGCAAGACTGTGGGCGCCTAAGCCAAAGGACGTCAACTGGGACCCGGAGGGCAGCGTTGCAGCCGAGGAGAACGACACCGTCTGGAAGTGGCTTATGTAGTAGTCTCGCGATACTTTTGGGTTGGCTTTGGCAAAGGAGAATTACATGACTTACTCCTGGCTGAAGTTTGGCGCTTCGATTTGACACTGGTGCGCGATGCGAGATACTCCCTGCACCATCATTGGCCATGCTTGCATTTTGTCTAATAGCAGTCTGATTCGAACCACCTCATCTTCTGATATCGTGACATCTTTTATGTCTACACTATCGGGTTATAAAACCCGAACCTGTTCTCTGGATCCCACTCATTCTTCAGCTTGGCTAACTTCGTAAGCCTATCATCGTATCCATACATCTCGGGCTTACTCTCCTCCCCACTAGCGTAATTCACATAGCAGTGTCGTTTTTTGTTGCTCTTGTCAAGGCCCGTATACAGCGCATTGCGCATCGCACGTGTATATGCATAGGCGTCTTTGGTCGTCTGCGCATCATCGCCAGCCCACCACAGCACTGGAGACGCGAGGATTGGATACTCACGTTCCTCGGGTGGCATTGCCGTGGAAGCTGCTTCAACAGCCCGTACACCTTGCATGCCGTAGTTCTCCAGCAAGGTAATGGAAGTATTAAAGCGGGGATCCGCTGTGATGTTACCGAATATTGTGAATGCTTTACGGACACCTTCAAGATCCCAAGCAGGTAGCGAGACGCCGGCTCCTGCAATATTCTCGTTCCTCGTACAAGCTTGGCTTTGAAGATTGTTTCCAGTCACCGTATAAAGCTCTACGTAGTCGACGTCCGTCGATACTGTGGTTGATACTGGACCGAGCGCTTTGAAACGTAAGGCGTATGGTTCAGCTTCCGCTTCCGTGCCCTCGTATATTATATTGTATGCGACAACTGGCTAGTGGAGAGTCAGCATCTGGCACTATGACGTGGGACCGTCTTACATTGATGGGATCGACAGCAGGTATCCTCACGAACACTCCTGTAAGCGCTAGCTTCGCGGGACGTTTCATAGCCGGCTCTTCAAACTCGTTGATCAGCTGGAAGAGCGCCTCAACCTTGTCGGTCGTGAAAACGAGTGAGTAGACAGTCCAGTTGGAAGGGATATCGTAGGTCTGGACCTCAAGGCTGGTCACAATACCAAAATTATGTCCTGCTCCTTGCAGGGCCCAGAACAAGTCGGCATTTGTTGTCCGAGAGGCTTCTACAACTTTTCCGCTGGCTAGAACTACGCGCGCAGAAACAAGACCGTCTAGGGAGTAGCCATGTTGGTTCTGGAGCAGACTGTGACCGCCGCCTAACAATGGGCCCGCAACCGACACACATGCCGAAAGCCCAGTAACTGGCAACGAGAACGATCAGTATGTGTACGTCTGCAGATATAGGCGTGATCTCACCTGCATACTTGCCCAAGGCGAACAACGAGCGAGTGATTTCGTGTTGCATAGTTCCGCCTCCAACCATCGCAGTTTTTCCATTTTGACTGAGTGTCGTAGTGTTCAGCTTCCGCATGTTAATCTGAATACCATAGGGCAGCTTATTGAGCGTTTTGGTCCATCCATGGCCCCCTGTCACGGCCAAAAACGGGATGTTGAGACGACTGGCCAATGCGACCGTTGTTTGCACGTCGGACTCTGTCGCTACCTCAACCACCACGTTGTAGTCGGGAGATATGCGTGGAGAAGAGCCACGGACTTGGAGATCGTTCCAACGGGTATCCCATGGGAAGGTAATGGTGGCAGCTTCGGATAGGCGCAGGTTTAATGTAGATACTGCGAGCTTCAGATCGTCTGTTTTGCACGCAGATGAGCTATGAACGACACACAACAGCCAAGCTGCAACAGTAGAAAAAAGCATAATGGCCGACCACTTGCGCTGACGCTCAGATGGGGAGTGTAGAACGAAGAGAAGAAGACCTCGTGAGATACTGGGCACAAGACATGCGTGTCGCTCTATGTATTGGATTAAGCCTCACAAAGCATCTGACAGGTGCCGACCGTGGGCCAGACGGTACCTTTGCTGCACTGCAAATGTCGGTAAACGGATCACGGACTTCAGCCCATGGTATAACCGTGTCGCTGCCGTACCATATCGCTCATTTGATGATCTGGAGTAAAGAATGCGGACTGGCGCACCAGGGTGCCGTAGTGGCGGAAATGTCTTTCGGTGATTGTATCGCTTTTATGCAGTCATACTGTTGCGACCGTTGGATACAGTTAGTCCGTTTATCTGTGTAATGAGTCTGTTGAGCTGATTTGATGCCTGGCGTGCAGGAGTAGGAAGGTGGTAGCGTCCACCTGCCGGGCGTACGCGAAGAAGCTGCCAAGGCGGCAAGGGGGCGGCTCTCCATGGACCGTCAAGAGCAATTCCTTCCCCACAACATCTCACTACACAAGCCCTTTATCACTTCAATACCGTTACGGTACTGACAAGTCAGAAGGCAAGAGGTCGATGCACATAATCTCATTGTGTCAGCACTGGAGGCATCCCACTGTACGCCGTTCAAAGGATCACACCTTGCTGTAGCTGCAAAGCTTGTGGCAACGGAAATTACATGGAGATATCCCACGATGCAAGCCCTGGAGGATGAGATTTCTAGCATGGTACTTGCTTATCGTTGTTGGCATTGCGGATACTCACCAACAGGACATGGTGTTCTATCAATGCAATGTCTGTCTTTGTCCACGCCGTAACGATCTGTATTCAAAACACATGCCAGTCTCCAGGTTAGCAGTGCGAGGAGCCTTCTAAGACACTTTTCGTTTTGACTCGGAGGACCAAACTTGCTCTCAACCGAGCTTCTATGTTAGCTTTCGCTCGATGGCATTCACGCAGCAAGGTTCAATGATGGGGCCATTGGACTCGACGCTCGAGGCAATCGTACTCATAACTCTCGCAGGCATGGCATAACGTTTGGCAGAGTACCTTCATGCGCGTGGTATATACTGACGCTCATAGATTTGCCGGCGCTGAACTCCTGGTCACTATCCTTCTCACTTTCAAATAGTGGTCTGGCAAATACTTCTATTGCTTGCTCATAGCCACGCTCGAGATTTTGTCTACCAAATCAACGTTCTCCTTGTAAACTCAACTGCATAGCTTAATGCTTATGGGCTTATCGCAAGTATTGGGCTGCATTGGGGTTTGCAACCTTCAACTAGTGGTAGCAGCATTGAGAAAGAGCAGATGTCGATATGCAACACAAGGCTTATGGGGCCATGACGCGCTAGCATATACACCCCTATGCATTCAATCGAGTTGACGCTTTCAAAGTGCCTCCATTACAGAGGTCTTCCGAGGTTGAGTTTACATGCAGCGGAATACAAGCTTATGTGGCTCGAGTACCTAAAATCTATCGAACCACTGTTCCAAGCCAGCTTACAATAGCCTCCGCGCACTCATCAGGCGCTTCTTCAGCCCCAAAGTGTCCAACTCCGTCCCCTAGCCCATGATTCTCGATCCTTACGCCCTCACCAACCCACTCCCTCCACACATCTGGAAAGTTGAATCTACTACCAATGCCCGCCTCACTATACAGCAACAACACCGGGACTCCAATCTTCCTTCCCTCTTTCTGATCTTTCTCCTGTTCCTTGACATCCGTCGTAGCGCCCTCCTTATAGTCTTCACAGCTTGCTTTCAGCGTATGTTCCTGTGCGAAGAACTCGCCATATACAGTCAGTGCTTCATCAGCCTTTAGCTTCTCGACACCCGTGTTGCTTTTGCCCGACCAAAGCAAGATCATTTCCTGACACCAGTTGGATGGCCCAAAAGCGGTGATCATACGTGTCGCCAAATCCACGTTTGCGAGCAACGGCCAGTGGAAATACCCCGTAACCTCCTTCGCCGCAGTAGCTGGGGAGGCAAAATGTTGCCATTGTGTCGAAGTCGGGACCTGGTATGGTCAGTATCTCGAAATCTCAAACAATGCATAGGGTTGCATCATACGATATCTATTAGACAAACACCAAGGATGTCCAGTCCGTCTACCCCGCTGACGGTAAGGCGGTGCGCAACTCTCGCTCCACGATCGTGCCCGACAAGCACAATCTTCATGTCCCCGTCTTTACTCTTACTCTTCTTGACCTCTGTCTTCAGCGCCTCGAGTACTGCCGTTCCAACACTCAATTTATCGTTCCGCTCGATTGGTGGACTAGCGCCATAACCGGGCAGGTCCGGAACGAAGAGTGGTGCCTGTGATGGAAGCTGGGGGATTAAATGTCGCCACCTGGTCTCGTGTCAGTCTACACGGTGGAGGTATAGAGAGTAGAAAGGAGCAATCACATGTAAGCTGACTGCGGGTAGCCATGGATCAGAACAAGTATGGGATTCCTGTCGTCTGCGTTTTCTAGAGAACGCGTATAACAGCAGACTTTCTCCTTATTTACAATCGACTTTGAGAGGCCGAGGCTGCTTAGCTTGGTGTCTTGGATCTTGAGGGCAGATACAGATGTCATGGCTGCGACGTAATACGTTTAAATCGAGAAGGTGTTGCTAGAGACCAGAGTATCGAGATGAGAGGTAAATGGGGTCAGTAATTGGTATACTTTGGCAAGTTGTACGGTGTAAGGCAAATGTCACTTTCCACGCCCTTCCGTACTGCGGGTTACATGTTGAGGTGTACGCAAGACCGAGGTATGACGCAATTACGCGATATCACGTGGATCAGATGTCAAAAAGCTTCAGTTCGAAAGCAAATAATTGTTCTTGGAGAGACAACCTGACAGAGTCGACATGCCTCGTATCTTTCGAACTACCATATACACCCTCAGGTGTGCCGTGCGGTATACCAGGTCCTCAACTTGAATACCAAGAACGCCATCGCTATGCAGAAAATATACTAACCTCCTCCTTTTGACACATCATTGCTCTCTTGCCAAGATCATCTTCTCACGCTCTGCCTTCCTTCGGACTGTGCCCTTCTTTGTGTGCCTTCTCTCGTTCTCTTCCTTCCTCTTGAGGGCCTTCAGCTCCTCATTCTTGATCTCGCCAGCCTTCTTGACAGTCTTGGGCAGATGTCTATGTCTCTCGATACGCTTAATCTCTGGCATATGCTTGTATCGCTCCTTGAGCGCTGCGTCATACTCGAGCTTCTGTCGTAGAGCGAATGACTTGACGCCCTGTCTCTCGGAAGCTCTCGCTCTCCACAAACGGACGTTACCGTCGTCTGAGCCGCTTAGTACGTAGTTGTTGTCGGGACTCCACGCGACGGAGAAGACGCGCTGCATCCGCTTGGTGTGGTAGACATCCCGGGAATGGCCCTTTTGTCGCTCCCAGAGTCTTACGGATCGGTCGTAAGAGCCCGTGATGAGCTCTTCTCCAGTGGGAGAGAACTCAATCGACATGACTGCCGCAACATGTCCTTTCTGTTTGTTGTTAGTAGCTGGTCGTAGTCATGACGTGATGATGGAAAGCTTACCAATACTTGCAGTGCCCGTTTCATGTTGCGCATATCGAAGATGTATCCGTTGTGGTCTTCGGACGCGACAGCGAAGTTGTAGGCCTCCATAGGATTCCAGGAGATGCAATTTGCTGGGAAGTTGAGCACAGTGCGGTGTAGAGGAGAATTCGTTCGGGCGTCGTAAAGAATGACAGCGCGATCAGTTGCGCACGATGCCAGTATCGATGTTTCGACCTGGTTGAACTTGACGTCGGTGATGGTATCAATGGCCTGTCACACAGTCAGTACATGCGTTGAATTCACCGGGCATCGCGACCTACCGATGGCCACACGAGGCTTGAGACAGGAGCTCCGGACGTCCTTGATGTATCGTATATAGAAATGACACTAGATCCAGCAGCGAAGGTAGGCAGCGAGCGGTGGTGCGAGACGGATGTGAAGGCCGAGTTGCCGTGCCATGTCGCTTTCGGCGGCGATTTGGATGGCTGTGCATATGGTTCGAACAGCTGGATCTGGCGGTCTGATCCGCACGTTATCAGTTTCTTGTCTCGCGTCCAGCACATGCCCTTGACCAGGTTTTCATGCGCCTGCGCCTGCCATTTCTCCTCCCTGCTTGTAAAGTCCCAGACTTTGACGATGCCGTCTCCACTTCCACTGGCAAAGTGCTCGAGCGAATTGGGGTCTTTTGCGAACGAGTACACGCCGTCTACATGGCCAGGCTCGAAATCGCCAAGGAAGGGCTGCGCAAACATGCGCTCAACTTTTGTCGCATTCAGGGCTCTGGTGTATTCGCGCGCGCGTTCGAACGGATGGAGGTTGGGGTCCAGATTCCTCGTGACTTTGGCGACATTGGAGCCGGGTGCCTGTGTAGAGGCCGTGGACCGGCTGAGGGCCTTGATCTTCATTTTCGTGGTTGTCCAGCTCTCGACAGTCGCCGCCGCGAAGTTTTGGCGGGTCTTGAGGATTTCTAGGCATGGGCGGGGCCCGCCAGCCCCAAAGACGTTAGCGTGGCGGCGCCGGACACAACGAGGAAGCGAATATTGCACCCATTTTCCTCAACCTCGAACCGCGACCAAGTACCCATCACTAACCCGGACAACAGCCAAAATGAAGTTGTGAGTGCCCCAATACCCACGAATCTCCCTGCGATGCAAATTGGCGCCCGCGATGCGTTATCCTGTGCCCGGAGCCGCCATTTGCTGCACCCTTGAAAATCCACAACATGCGACAGAGCAGCTGCTAACACATCCTCCAGCCTCAAGGTCGGACGCGTTGTCGTACGTTGAAATCGCTCGATCCAGCTCCCTCGCATGCACTCACAGTCCGCCTAGATCATCACCAGGGGCCGCTATGCCGGAAAGAAGTGTGTGATCATCTCACCACTTGACAACGGCACCAAGAGCCACCCCTTCCCCCACGCGCTCGTTGCCGGTATCGAGACCTACCCATCCAAGGTCACCCGCCGCATGTCAAAGACCAAGCAGGCCAAGAAGAGCAAGGTCAAGCCTTTCGTCAAGCAGGTCAACTGTATGTGGACATGAGGACGCAATTCCTGGGCAGACGCTGATAGACGCAGACACCCACATCATGCCCACCCGGTACACCATCGAGCTCGAGAACCTCAAGGGCGTCGTTTCCGCCGACACATTCAAGGAGGTCTCGCAACGGGAGGAGGCCAAGAAGACCGTCAAGAAGGCCTTCGAGGAGCGATACCAGTCCGGAAAGAACAGGTGGTTCTTCACTCCCTTACAGTTCTAGGCTTTCCTTCGGTTACGGCTGGGCGCAGATGGGCATGATTTGATACGGAAGATGCTGCATGAGCGGTGGATATCATAGGAGGACAGGACCCCAAAAGTGGCCTGCCATCCAGGCGTGTATTTCGGCTTGATAATCAAAGCATGAAAAATCCGGCATCCGGCTCAATTCACGAACTTCATGAAATGCACATGATCTTCACGTTGGCCTCTGTTTCCACTACTGGGTGATGCTAGTAAGATGTATCGTGCTGATGGGACTATGGAAGGGTGAGGACGGCCTGGCGATACGACCGGACCGATGTACCGAGCCATTAACCAAGTGGCTGCAGTCCAAACGACCCAAACATTTCACATAAAGCCTCTGTACGAAGAACAACAATTGAACAGAAGGGATATCATTTATTAATCGGTCTATCTTCTAAGGAAAGGTGCGCAAACGGACGCAAGAAAGTTACTCCACGTTACGTCAACAAGGCCACACTGATGGACGCCCCTTTGCCCTTGCTTTTCCGATTGTCTCTCATCGTACAAACACACTGCCAGACTTTGCACATTAGCGCCTTACTCTACTGCTTGACCTCGTCAACCTTCTTCTTCGTCTGCTCCTTTCCCTTGTTCAGGTAATTCAACACAACGTCACACGCATCGCTCAACATCCTGAGCTCGAAGCTGACTGTCGCAACACCCATCTTGACAACGCCGTTGTTGTAATGCGTCTTGTTGTATTCGTCTTGCCAGGTACCTTGCACGTATGTGACGGGCGAGAAAGCATATTCTTTCAGTTTTGAAGTGTCTTCCTTGACAATGGGTAGGTGTGTCTCTAGAGTGGATAGGCCAGAGTCCCCGAGCTGGTCGGCGCGTGCCAGGTAGGGTGAGATGTAGGAGTAGGGTGTGCGCAAGTATGGGTGAAAGGGTGCGACGATGGACTGGTAGGTGTTGTTGGCGAGGTTCAAGGCGCGCGAACCATAGGGGTTGGACTTGAAGGTCTCAACACTGTCGTGAACTACAGGGTAGGAGTGCAGATGCTGATATTCATTAGCTCACTGTTATACTCTAAAGGTCAAAGTCCAAGATGCGGTTGCTTTCGGATAGCTTCTGCCAAATAAAGTTCATGCTGTAAGAAGGCTCCGAGCATGGCAGGTTGATTGGCTGGGCCGTAAGCTCCGCATCTGCATCGTGGGATTCGTGCGCCATATTGCTGACCCAAATAGATTGCGGTCCCAAAGTCGTCCAGACTTCGCAATCGTTCACGATTGATGTCAAATAGCGCAGAAACGCCAAGTGGTACGCTTTCCATTGTGGCCACTGAGAGGCAGAGACCGCCAATGAGCGTGTAGGAAAGTGAACAGTACGTACCGATAGAGCCTTGGAGGTGGGCGTCTCGCCATTGGTCATAGGCGCTTCAGAGCTCATGTTGTTGCCGTCGTCAGTAGCGTGCGGTGCCATTAATTGCAGTAGCAAATATGCAGTGTTGCAGTCTACTGTAGTGGATGCTGAATGATTGTTGAGCAGGGAGGCAGTGGAGGAGTAACAGTAACGTAGAGAGAGAACGGGTTTCGGTCGACCTTATTATACGACGGTGCGCTATGATGTGACTGTCTTTGGTTGGGAGGCTTTGCTGAAAACGGTGTGGTTCAGTGGGCTGGGGTGAATAAGATGCAGTGGCATGTGAAAGTGGCTATCGACAAGCGCTATGTCAATCTACACTGGGGCCTACCAAAACGTCACTACCCAAGTTGACTTCTCGCGTCGCTTCTCATTTCGAACGTTGAGATCCAGCGTGCGGAGTCGATGCAAGCCTGACGCTACACAAACACGCCGCAATATGCTTTTTTCATGTGCCCCGCGTCTCGAACTCTATCTGGCGCATGTAGAGCGTTGAGGAGTTGGGATGCAGGGCGTACAGCTTGCGCCTGGCATGTGAAAGAAGCGACGCTTTGGCCAGTCACAACTCAGCGACATCAGATAAGATCAGCCACGTGCTCTCTCGTTGGCGAGATACTCAAACCACTCGGCTGCCCTGTATACACCGGAGTGCCGGCTTCCCCTTTGTATCCTATCGCGTCCTGGTCATACCGTGCGTCGCCTCCGCTCGCGCGTCAGCTATCGGGTGAGCTCCAATTCCTCGCTGAGAAACGACCGTAGATCGATTGGCAACAGTGCATTACAGCTAGGGATTGCGCCCCTCAATTGGGGAACCCTTATCACGTCGACAACCCCCTCGTTGCCATTGAGCGGCCTCGGGGACTGGTTCCGTCATGCGTGCCGCACAAGTACTCCTCTTGTGCATCAGCAGGAGTGCAGGACGGCGGGCGTATTGACATCAATGCAGCAGGTAGTGGGACGTGTTGAGGCCGTTCTAGGTCCTGAAATAGCATCGAAACTTCGAGGGCTGAACTATCGCATGTGAAAGTGGATGACGAGGTTTGGCGTACTGCTAGTGCACGAATCGTGTTTTTCGCACATGTTGCGCGAGCTTACTCATCGCGCCATAGCGGAGCTTTGCATGTCACGCCTTGCGGCTCAAGCTCGCAAACAAGTCTCCTCTCATTATTTCTTCAATGGCTTGGCTATCACGAGTGACGATACTCACGATCAGCTGCTACCGAGCCTCAATGCAACCGCGGCATGCACCTGCCTCCAAACCTCGATAATCGGCATTCCTTCTTGACGAGGCCGGACTGCCGGGAAGGATGCGATAAACAAGGCCCACGCCCGCCACTTTCACCACAACGGCAGCTTTCACGTGCTTATGCGCTGTGGCGGATCGACAGCTTAAGCGAGGACGGTTCATCGATGATCGCTGTCGTTTGTTGAGGCTAGTTCGACGACATGCGTTCTTGTGGATAAGGAGAAGGCCGCAATGACGGTTGCGCAAGACGGCAGCTATCCGTCAGCGAGTGGTACGATACAAGCATGTAGACATGTTGCTACGAGGTCATACAGTGGGTACTAGGGTCGTCGAGCACCTCGACATGCCATCTTATCCTGCCTTTCAGAACCGAGAGTAATCGGCTGTACATTTTGAACAATGGCCCTCTTTGTACAGTGAATGATGATGTGTTCTTACATGTCCGATGTAGAAACCTTACTCAACTACGGGCTATACGAAGACGAAATGCAGATACCAGTTCCGACATGCGTATTCCCAGATTTGCGGGAGGCGGGCTGCCGATCTATACGACGTAAAAGATCACGATAATGACGACCCATACCTAAAGCAGTAGCAGGTATCGATCTTTGCTACAGCATAGCTAGTACCATCTCGGTCATGAGTGTCGGTGACCGTCCCAGCAGGCTCTGAGATGCTAATTTCGAATTCAACTCGGACACCATCATCGCTATCAAAGGACCTTCGAATTGGAACACTTTTGCCATTTCACATTGTCGACATGCTAAACTACATCAATATTATCCCGCCTTTTGTCAAACGCCCGTACCATGCCCAGAAACACCTCTTAATGTAACGTACAAGCAAACGAAAACAACGGCGCCTAATCGCTACTCCGCCTGTGCTTCTTACTCTTCTTGTCCTTCTTCTTGGGTGATTGTTGAACAACCTCTTCCTCTTCAGCAGCATCGACATCCTCCATCTCCACGTCGTTCATCTGAATATCGCCATCGACATCCTCGTCCTCTTCTTCTTCCTCTTCAGACTCCGAATCGGAATCACGCTTCTCACGAACATCGTTGAGCACGACGTCATTGACCTCCTCAGCAACGTCCTTCAACGGATCCCTAATCTTGACCGGTGCGAGTACGTCAAACGCACCCGTACCGATACCACCCAATCTACCAACGACAATACGTGCACTGGGGTTCTTGAGCTCATCCCAGTCGCGCTCCATGACAGCGTCCTTGAGGAAACCAACGGTGGTTTCGAAACTCATCTTCATGAAAGGACTCACGTTACCCTTCATACCGATACGGTTGAATGGTGTGAAACCACCGCCCTTAGTCATGGTATCGGCGATGAGGTTGAGATGGCGTTGGTCGACGGAGATACCGTGACCAGAGAAGACGCCGTGCATCTCGCGGACGATCGTCGCACGAGCGGCCTCGACACCGTAGAGATGCAACATAGCCACAATGTCGTTGGTTGTAGTACGGTTTACATCGATGATGTGTGCGTACTCGCGCATGGCAATGAGGTTGGAGCCTTCGGTATTGATGACATCCTCAGGGTTGTCCTTTGACTTGGCTGAAAATTGGGCGGCAGTGATACCGGGAATGACGTGGATAGTGGCGAAATTGGCAGCGTCTTCCACATGGTGCAGCATGAGAAGCTTCGGTGTAGATGCGGAGAATTCAAAAGTAATCTCGCAGAAAGCTCCTTTGCGGTCATCGAACTTGAAGTCAAAAATGTCACTGTTCTTGTGGCAGATACGGTCGTGGCGGATTTCTGAGGACTCGTCGGTGGGGACGAGCATACGTTCATCCTCATCGTCGGAGTTGGGGTCAGGGGTAACCGCACGCGAGGGCTTGGGGCTGCCACCGTAGGTCTCATCGTCTTCGCTGACCTCGTCTTCTCGGTCAAGCCTATCGTTGACAGCCTGTTCCTCCTCTTCCGGCTCTTCGTAAGCTACACTGTCCTCCCGTCGGCCGCGATCCTTGGCATGAGTAGTATCGTTGTCACCCTCGCCGTCATCACTGTCATCGTCTTCCGCTCCGCCTTCCCGACCAGCCCGGATGGTCTCCTCGGACTCTTCGACTGTCTGCTCTCCACTCCTACCAGTCTTCTCACCGATAGTAGGGATAGCAGCCGACTTCGCTGTTGACAAGGACTTTTCTGCAGCCTTCTTCTTAAGATCGACACGAACGATCTTCTGGAGACGTGGACAGAACTTTTGTTCGATGGACTCGGCGACGTCGCGAACCTTGATGGCATACTCTTTAGTGTATTCCTTTGCTGGGTAGAAGTCCAGGCGAATCTTGTAGCTCCTGGATTGGCCGAATTGTTCACCAGGGCCAGATGTCTCAGTGACAGTGACCTTGTCGAGCACAGCCGAGAGTGGCAGACGAGTGATACTCTTGGCAAACTTCTCGTTGTCTTCCTTGGACAACTCGGGGTGAGGATACAGCTGCATAGATGGGGTGGAAATATTCGCACTAGCAGTCATGACGATTTCTCGTAGACGTGGGATACCGAGTGTGACGTTCTTGGCAGAGTGACCAGCCAAATGGAAAGTGTTCAACGTCATCTGTGTGGAGGGCTCACCAATAGACTGCCCAGCGACGACACCAACAGCTTCGCCAGGTTCAACAAGAGATCTGAGGTACTTGAGATCAAGCATCTGCTCGAAAGTACGCTTGAGAATCTCACCCTCTTCGTCTTTCTTCTTGTTCTTGAGCAGCTTGTCGGGGTTTTGGTCACAGTACTGTGATAGTTAGTAAATTGTAACGACACGAATTCAAGGAACTTACGTCGCGCTTAGCCTGCAAAAACTTCTCAGAGGTACTGCCACTATGCCGTGATGGCGTGTAAACTGCAGTGGCAGGATCCATTGCTGCCACATCACCCTTCCTGGCCTTCTTCGCAGCCTTCTTGTTGTGCTCAGCTGCTTCAGTACTAGAGACCTTCGGGTAGGCTTCCGCGGTGTGGAGCGCTTGGGCTAGCGAGTAGAAGTTCTCCGCCTGGAACTTGAAGTCGTTGAGGTACTTCTGCTTTGTCGTGTCGAGACCATCTTCACCGTACAGGAACTGGACCATGGTACCGTCGGAGTCGCGGACTGAAGTGTCGTATTCGACCTTGAGACCTTCCATACCCTTGATAATACATCGTTGCAAGTAACCAGAGCGCGAAGTCTTGACAGCGGTATCAATGAGACCTTCTCGACCAGCCATCATATGGAAGTAGTACTCTTGCGGTCGGATACCAGTCAAGAAACGATTGACAATGTAGCCACCAGCACGAACACTTGTCTCGAAGGGCTTGAAGCATGGCAGCGTTTTACCAGAAATCATGACTGGAACTCTTCGACCTTCCAAGACTTGCTGACCGAGATTACATGAAATCTGGTTGGCGTTGACCATACTACCCTTGGCTCCAGAACCTGTCATGGCTTGCATTTGGTTCTTCGGGAATGGCTTGATGAGCTTGTCAGGCAAACAGGCTGCGGTGACCGTGGAGGAGATCTTGCCGTTGGCAGTGTTTGTAAGCAGATCGAGACCGTGTTGCTTGGTATCGTCTCGCAGGACAGCTTCAAGGCGTCGCCGTAACTCTGGGTTGGTAGGGTCAATCTTTTCCGCATCCATAGTGACGTACTTGGAGGCCACCTCGAACCCAATCTTCTCTGCCTTTCGGAGTTCTTCCAATCTAGCGCGGTCTCCTTCCTCTGTGAGAATCAGATCCTGAACACCACAGGAGAAGGCGCGCATGTGAAGCATCTTGGTAAGCAGCCGACCGATGATACTAAGGGCGCGTCCAGCAATCGTCTCCCCGTAAG